AAATTTTGACACATGAATGTGTGTTAAATATCAGAGCTATAGGACAGATAAAACTGCGAGGGCTAATGAAATAAATCAGTCACAAATTATATATATATATATAATAATATATAATTATATAAGGTTACTTATTATATATATAATAAGTGACTTTGCAAATACTTACATGTGTATCTAGATTAGGCAGTTTCAGAGAGGCAGATGACAGAAGTGGTTTATCTGAGCTAGGAGGGCAGAACGAGCTTACTATTTAATGGGTATGTACGGCTTTCCAGTATTACAAAACAAAGAAGAGTTACAGCAATGGATGGCTACAAAACAATGTGGATGGATTTAATTTCACTAAACTGTGAAATAAGGATAAATTTTATTTCATAATAAAAGTGAAAGGTTGGCATCACCAATTCTTATTTTATTTATTTATTTATTTATTTATTATTTTGGGAGTTTTTCGAGACAGATTTTTGCTGTGTAGCTTTGGAGCCTATCCTATAACTTGTTCTGTAGACCAAGCTGGTCTTGAACTCACAGAGATCTGTTACATGGAGCAGGGGCCCTTTGATCTGACCCGGCCACTCGGCTAGTTTACACCCAAAATAATTCCACAGAAACTGTATTCATTTAAACACTGCCTGGCCCATTAGCTCTAACTTCTTATGTCTTGATTTAACCTATTTCTATTAAATCTGTGTATTACCACATGACTGTGGCTTACTGGCAAGATTCTAACCAGTAGGAGCTCCATGGTATCTGTATGTCTGCCCTTCTTCCCAGCATTCAGTTCTGTCTTGTCCATGCCTACCTAAGTTCTGCCCCATCAAAAGGCCAAGGCAGTTTCTTTATTCAACCAATGAAATCAATACATAAACAGAAGGACCTCCTACACCAGAGATCCACCTGCCTCTGCCTCCTGAGTGTTGAGATTGAAGGTGTGTGCCACCATTATCTGGCTATCACCAACTTTTTAAACTAGTTAATAAACAGATTCATGTCATAAATCATGATGAGCACCACAAATAAATGTTTAACTGGCAATTAAATACATCTAGATTTTAGTGTCCTTAGTCATAAAGTAAAAAAATAAAAGACAAGAGAACTCAACCCTGGCAGTAAGTCATAGAATAGTGAAGAGCTAGCAATGACAGAGTGGGGGGCATTAAATAAAAACTGCCACACAGGGCCGGGCAGTGGTGGTGCACGCCTTTAATCCCAGCACTCGGGAGGCAGAAGCAGGCAGATTTCTATAAGTTCACGGCCAGCATGGTCTATAAGAGCTAGTTCCTGGACAGGCTCTAAAGTTACAGAGAAACCTTGTTTTGAAAAACAAAAAACAAAAAACAAAAACAAAACAAACAAACAAACAAACAAAAACCCCCACACAACCCTGTAGCATCCCAGACTTGTGACAAATGGTCCCTAACCATGCTCTATAGAGAGGCTGGTTTGATATCTAAGGTAACATGTAATCTGGGACACAGATTTACTCACCTCCAGGAAATAAGCACTAATCCCACTGAGATCATAACCACGGTAAAGGCCTGTTTCCTGTTAGCTGACATTTTTAGAGGCTTGTCTCAGCTTTGTGGTCAAGACATAGACATACAGAAGTGACTGAACCAAACTAAGATGAGCCCTTGGCTTTCTTATGCTTTAGGTACATGTAAGATATTACCCTATAGCTAGTATTTCGTGTCAGTCCACACTCAGCTTAATCTATCCTATACCTAAGCTTTTTCTACATATGAAATTAAATATTTTCTACTAAGAGACTGTCTTAGGGTTTTATTGCTGTGATGAGACACCATGACCACGGCAACTCTTATAAAGGATAACATTTATTTGGGGCTGGCTTACTGTTCAAAGGTTTAGTCCATTATTGTCACATCAGGAAGCAAGGTGGCATGTAAGCAGACACGGTGCTGGGGAGGTACCTGAGAGTTCTCCATCAGGATCCACAGGCAGTAGGAAGAGAAAGTGAACCACTAGGCCTGGCTTGATCTCAATGACACACTTCCTCCAACAAGGACATACCTCCAATAACGCCACTCCCTATGAGTCTATGGGCACCGTTTTCATTTAGACCACCACAGCTACATAAAAAATGTTAGTATTCGGCATCGCACCCACCCTTCAGACTCTCCTTGAAGCACAGGCCTCAAATCTACATTCTGACACATCAGCAGTGTTCCCATTGGGTTCCAGGTGTAGCACGAGCAAAAGCACAGGTTCCTACAGCACTGGTGGAGACAGGCTTCGTGAGAGTTGGTTTATAGACAGCTTTTCCTTGTTACTCCTTCAACACTTCATTTTCTGACAAATTCCTAGAACTACTTATCTCCTTGAGATCAAAGAACCTGAAAATGTTTTTTGGCCATATGTAAACTTAATATTGCAGAGACAAATTTTTGTCAACTTGACACAAACCTAGACATAGCTGGGAACAGGAAATATTAACTGAGAAATTATCTTCATCAGACTGGCTTGTGTCTACAAGGTGTTTTCTTAACTGCCAATCAATACAAGAAGGTCCACCATGAGCAATGCTATCCCCAGGCAGATGTGTAAGAAAGATAACTCAAAGGCCAGAGGAGGCAAACAATCCACGTTCCTACAGGGTTTCTTTTTAAAGGTCCTGCCTTGTAGTTGGACTTTCCTTTGGGCTGCCAGCTCACTGGCAAATAATTACATGGAGACTTATTAATTATTAAGGTTCAACCTATAGCTTAGGCTTGTCCCCAATAATTCATCTAACTTGAATTAACCCATTTCTGTTAATCTATGTCCTGCCATGGCTATTACCTCTTCTCCTGCACATCCTGCTTCATCCAAGTCACACTGGCATCCCTGGCATGCCTAAATTATCTCTTTTTCTCTCTGCTTGGAAGTCCTGCCTATCTTTCCTGCCTAGCTATTGGCCATTTAGCTTTTTATTACACCAATCACAGTAATACCATATTATCTTCACAGTGTACAAATATCCCACAATATATCCCATTTTTTGTCTAAATAAAAAGGGAAGGTTTTAACTCTAACACAGTAAAACTATATACATATATAAAAACAATTATCAATAAGAAATACATTCATGTTTAATACTTTAATATTGGCAAATTCAAAGAAAATACTGCATTACCTATCCTATCTTAATGAGTTCCAACCTTTGGACCTGAACCATTTTCTATCATAACTTGTAAAACCATCCTAAAAATATCTTTCTAGACCTAAAAACATCTTTTTAAATAAACAACTTAAGCTTTTATGTTTCTCAGCATTATAAACTTTACATCTCTTACATAAGTTTCTTTTCTGAATTTAGTACCAAGGAAAATTTTATGTATAACCATCTAGTCTTTAACCCTATCAACAACCTAAGAAGAACATAATATTACCTGAGTAAACAGATAGTATAGAGCAAACAATTTCCAAAACTATAGAAACAACAGAAACAGCTGGCTTCCTGGACAGTCACCCAAAGTTCCTCTGCAACAATGGGGCATCTAACTTTGGCCTACAACCCTAGAATATCTGACAGACTTTTTTGTGAAGCAGGAACTTTTGAAGAACTGTCCTACCTTCTCTTGGCAAAGCTCAGCAGTCTCCTTCTCTTATGTCTTACTTGTCCAATTTGGACAGTATAGTGTCAGCAGTCAAAGCAAGGGCAGTTTCTTTTCCAGTGGCTAACACTGCCACTGCCACAATAAAAGCAAATGCCATACTGAAGTTCTTTGGTGCCCATAATCTTTTTTTTTTAAAGTAAATTGGTGCTGCGAGGAGCAGACAGGTTTTACTGTCATGAAAAGCCATAGGTTATTAAAACATCTTGAATGTTATATTCTGTAGATATCTGACATATTTGAAAACCATCTGTCTATCTAAAATATATGTGCTTGGCCTTGAAAACATAACTTACATGGCCAAAAATCTGATTGTTAGATGACTACTAACCTGTATTTGTTAATTATCCTAAATAGTTTGTAATAATAACTTTCAAAGACTAGAAATATACACTACAGTTTTAAATGAGCTGCAATAGGTACAATACCTTAAATAAAAGTAGAAATGTGTGTGTGTCTACATAACAAAAATAACCTTAAATTTGTATCAATATACAAAAAAATATCTTAAACAAGAGTAGGAACACATATTAAGTAACAAAAATAACCTTAAATTTGTATCAACATATAAAACTTCATACCAATGTAAAATATTTAAGATTAATAGGTGGTTCTTAGTTTAATGCCTTTAGTTCCTACCTTGGTCTCCCTCGATGATAGAGTATAATCTGTTAGCCAGATAAACCCTTCCCTCCCGATTTGCTTTTGGTCATGTGTTTTATGACAGCAACAAAAAGCAAACTAAGACAACAGTCCATCAAAATCAGTATTTGTATAGTTTTCATGCTATTAAAACACACACACACACACACAAACAAAATCAAAAAACTTTCAACAAATCTTTACTGAATATTACCATAGGCCAGACCATCCCCTAGTCTGAAGACCAGGAAAAAACACAGACAAAACTTTGTCCTGTAAAAACATATAGTCTAGAGTTGGAGAGCGGTGGTGCACGCCTTTAATCCCAGCACTCGGGAGGCAGAGGCAGACACAGGCCTACATATAGAAACCCTGCCTCAAAAAAGAAAGAGAGACAGACAGACAGACAGACAGACAGACGGAAAGGAGAAATATATAGTCTAGCAAGGGAAAAATAGTACACAAGATAAGTAATATAAAATATTGGGAAAGGGTGAAATTTTGGTTGTACTAAGATCATTTTTGGGAAAAAAAACCCAAGGCAGCAAGAAAGCTAATCATATTCACTTCTACATAGAGAACATTCCAGCAGAAGGCAAAACATGTGTAACGGCCCTAATGAAGGAGTCCCCTACACAGACTGGATATAGCAGATGTCATCTGTGGTGACAACAGTTAATGGGGAAACTACAAAGTCGGGAGGGAAGCAGATTCTGAATAGAGGAGCAACATGATACAACTCACCTATTACTGGAGTTCTGCTGTATCAGCAACAGATGGTACAGGACAAGGGCAGAAGACAGGAAATAGACAAATGAGCTTGAATAACAACTGAAACCAAAGTGGTAACAATGAGGATGCTGAGCAAATTCTGATCCCTAGACATCCAAGAGCTGGTCCCAGAATCTGCAATTCAAACAAGAGAAATTTCTATATAAGGCTAGAGAGATGGCTGAATAGGTAAGAATACTTGCTACCCAACCTAGCAACCTGAGTTCAATTGGGGAACTCACATGGAAAGACAAAGCCAACTCCCAAAAGTTATCCTCTGACTTTCACATGTGTACCATGACTCTCTCTCTCTCTCTCTCTCTCTCTCTCTCTCTCTCTCTCTCTC